AGGTGGCGAGGCGGTGGAAGGCAGGCGGTAACGAGTACTTACCTCATGCCCCCCATGAATGCAAGGAGGTGCGGAAAGGAAAGAAGAACGTACTGAGAGAGAAAGAAAAAAAAAGAAAAGGAAAGGAAGAGAGACAAGCTTAATGCAGCCTGGCACGCCTGGCAGGCAGGAGCAACTGCCCGTCCGCCGGCCGCCGTTGTTACTCTGTGCCTCCATTTCTTTCTTTCCCAGGCGTCAGGCGTGCCAGGCTATTTCTGCTGCCCGCGCGTGCCTGAACACCTCATTACATAAGCTGCAAGAAAACTGGGATCAAGATCTGGAACAAAACCGTACGTTCCGCACTTTATCCCACCGGCACTTTGCTGCGTAACTTCCTTAGGTACCTTAGTCTGCGCCTACCAGCGACCAGGCGCTTGACGTTCCTCATGTCAGATGTACCTCAAATTTCCCCCGGTTCTGTAATCCTACTTGCGATAGTAGTGTAGCGAACGAAAGTGTATTTGCTGGGTCTGCGCCGTTTATTCCCACTCCTTCGAAGCAATGCGATGGTGGACATTGCCTCGAGTTCCTTGTCCGCGGCGTGTTCTGAGGTACAACCTAACTGTAAGTATACGGAGAAGGTACATACATACATGCTGGAAAATCACCTGCACTACGCCGTCGTGCATAGAAAGAGACTGGTGGGCTATCCATACGGAGGTGCACCGTACTGCAAGACCCGGTATCCACCAATGAGGCATGGGCTTATGGGGCGCACCTGGAAAGTCTCACCATCAGGCCGAACAGATCGGCGCGTGGCCTCAGGGATCCTTCCCACCAAGCCAAGCTGTTTTGGGCCCGCACCTTCCCTGCAGCCACGCAGTGGATCCAGATGGGCCCGCGTCTTTCTTTGGCGGCATCACGTTGCTGCCACGCAGAGCCACCACACCCCCTGCTCCTTCCTGCCCTGTGAACTGATCCTGCCACCTGCCGCCCCTCCCCTCATTTCCCCTTCAATCCTTTTTGGCTGCCATCTTACCCACTTACCAAACGCTGCTACTCCATATACCCTATGGATACGCAGGCTCAGGCTCACCAAAAGTAACAAATCTTCGACACAACCACGTTCTCGACGCTTCAAGGTCGGGATGCTCGTCGCTCATTGATCGTCACCATGCAGGACATCCAAACCCAAAATCGCCCACGCCACCTCCAACCCTCCCCCGGACCCCTACGGATACTTACAATACCACAGTAATCATCTTACTCCGGAGTCCATCGTGGCGCATCCTATGGTACCCGTAACTAACCTTCCTTTCTAACTCACCTGCTGAGTGATTGAAGGAAGCCCTGGCACCCCCAGCCGACCGGCAACGTCGTACTGTGTACGCTACCAATCGACACGCGCTATCATCTACGCCCATTGACATTCTGCCCAAGCACGGCGTCACAGTATCCTACTACCTACGTAAGATACACCACCTTGCGTTAGCCTACGAATGCTTCTTTGGCTTCCGCACCCGTCCCCTCACTTCACCTCAACGGGCTGGTGCGGGAAGCCCAATACGCATCCAACGTCATCCAATGTTTGTCTACACTGGCATGGTCAATCAAGACTGACAGAGACTGTCGGAGTCAGAGCATCTCCACCGTTACTGCGATGCAGTAGTCGTATCTGGGAGCCTCTGTTTCTTCACGATACGAATACTTCACCTCGAATCCACCTCACTGGACCACAAGGGCGGCGTTTTCCCCGTCGGCGATTCAGGGCGCCTGAAACAACCTGACGGCAATCGAAAAAGTCACTGCCACAATACTGAGGACAAACCACGACAAACGCAAAATATCAGAAAACACAATTCAATCGGCAATCCTCTTCGGCAATCCTCTCGGATGTCGCACTACATTTTCTTCTTCAACAATCTTCACGGTCGTGCAAGTTGCAACACATTTGCTCGTGCACAGGCACTCTGCTGTTGACAAAGGAGGGCAACATAACAGCCTTCTTATTGGTACTCCTTTGGCAAACCCAACCTCACGATACCCTATCTTGACACCAGAGAGAAGCTCACTGAGCCCGCCTATCCGTACAGCTCAACGGTCCGTACGGGGTCATGCGCATTCGATACCTTCCCCCGGTGCTACGCTTTCTCAGTCTCACACATGTTCGGATACGCTGAGCTGGCTGATGGGCGTGTGCTCAGGTATCCGTAGACGCAACCTGGAAATGCTCCATACACGTAGACTTCGGAGTCACCGTAATGATGGAGGAGCTGCCAAATGGGCCCTCCGTGGCTCGTTATTTCCGACAAAGTTGCTTTGGTGCCTTGGTCCCTGGACGCCGATCCTTACCCCCTTGGCAGTCGGAGCCGTGCATCCCCCAAAACGCCCACTCGGACGCCGGCTGCCAACCAGGTCTACCTTTGCAATTGACAAACAAAGGGTGGATGGAACGCTAGGCAATAAGCAGCCTCTCCAGGCTCATCTACAGCTTAGCGCTTTGCTACAGATGTCATCTTCGACTCCATGATCTCGTCCAATCAGCGATGATAGGCTACATGGAGACCAATGTGTCTATCATTTCACGCCGCAAGCTTTGGCCTCTCCCACCTTGCAGATACTCAAGGGAACATCAATAACGAGGCGCTTCAGGCTATTCGAACTTCGGCAGTGACCGGTCGATATCTAGCTTTTTACAGCCTACGAATTACAGCCATGCTGCTATCATCATACACGTTTCATTGCGACCTCTTATGCCGACTACAGCCTACGCAGGTACAAACCCTGCTGAGCCTATAACCTGGCTCGGCTGTTTGTCTACCGGCCCGCTACCTAGCAGCATATCCTTGTAGCAACAAGCCACGCGTTGACAGCACAGAGACAGCGGGTGCTACGGATAGGTTCGCTCCAAGATTTAAATGGCCTATCGTTTCTGTGATAACGGGGTTGGTGGGGTTGAAGGATACTTGCAGTCTTGCACCGCTAGCTGACGTCCACTTTGGAGTTCCGCACAATAACGCCCAAACTTCTAGAAGCCTTCGTGGAAACACGAGCTAGACACCCCCAGGCCATACAGGGGTCGGTGACTGCGGTTTGATTCAAGCTGGATGGGTCTCACCTCTCAAAGTCCCATAACGGAGGGGAAGGCAGCCAGGCAACCTTGCTGTGGAATATCACAATGATGACGAAAAAGGAAGATGGGTCCTGCTTACAGTTAGCTAGCTTGATCAGTCCTTTTGGAAAGCCGAGACTTCTAACCTTCGCTTGAGCCAACCTTGCTATCTCTCGGTTTCAAACGTCTGACGTTTCGCTCGCTGACCTCCCGCGTCTGTCCCTGATATGGACACGAACCAAATTCTGGCAGCGATTGGGCAGCCAAACCTTCTGCACTGCTGCAGTACGTGAACCTTACACTCTTTCTGTATCCACGTCGGATTTCAGATCAAACGAAAGCCCGCGGACGCCCGGCGCAACGGATCAACTTTGTTATGCCCGCAGCACACCATCAGAAGTTGAAGATGCGAAAGGCAACTAGACATGCAAGGCATGGTGGTTGCTAGACCACTCATCGATCTCGGCTTGTTTCTTCCCTCGCGGCGCATTATCGCGGGCAATGGATTTGTGTAGAATACACACGCACGCTCTCTCGTCTCTCTGATTGATCCTATAACCGGCGGCCCTACGGATATGGGTTTGCGTTTCATCCACAGTGAACAATGTCGCGGTACTGCTAGATGAGCCTCGGTGCCAAGAGCACACATCGCTGTAGCCACCCATTCACCAGACGTTGGTAGTGCGCAATCCTCGACTTTGCGTCAAAGATAGGTTCACACGTCGAAGGCTGCTATCACGGGTCAAATTTCGTTGGGGGTGCTCCCTGTCCAGGGAGCTACCCATGATAGGCCGCTACTGTGTACACCAATCTTCAAGCAATATCGCAGCGTGAGGTTCGGATACCTCTACCCATTTCGCTTTCCCAGGCCCTACGGGTCGCGGCAGTGTGCACCAAGCTCAATACGGAGTAGAGGAAAAGTCGACACCTGCCAAACTGCGGCTTGCGGACCGAGATTCCTGACACAGTGCCAGCACGATTGCTCAGTCATCAACATTCTGCAACATTCGTCACGATTCGCCTATCCGCCCAGCGCTCCGCATTCGAGCCCATGATGCATTTTCACACGGATACCTGTCGAGAACGCCATCTTAGGGGCAGGCTTTCGGTAACGAAATGTAGCCTCAACGAGTTCCTACCATCAAGCCAGAAGTCTGCATCGACGATTCGACATGCTTCCTCCCAACAGGAGCCCGAATGATGAAATGTGGAGAAACCTGGCAGCGCCATGTGGCGCTCACCCAACACGTGTCGAATCTCGTGGCTAATCAGCTGAAAGCCGTTTCAGAGGCATCTGAGACGCGCTGGCGATTAGAGGCTGGAAGGAAAAAGCAAAGAAAAAAGGAGACAGATTAAAGACACGGCTCATCTTTCGCGGGGCCGATAGGAGTAGCTACGAAGCTACCCGACTTGACGCCTCGTGTGGCCTGGCTCGGGGCTGATGCTCACCATCAGGTGCGTACGGCTGATCCTACAGCAAGAAAAGACTCAACGGCCTAGCTCAGGGCTAGCGATCTTGGGCGTCGATCGTCCCATCACCGAAGTAATCATTGAGTGTTCCTCAGTCATAGCACTATCGAATATCCCAAGAAAATAGAGAGCTATTTGCTTCTGATTGATCTACCCAATACCAGCACGACAACTTATTCGTTCGACGTTGACTTTACATGGGCCGTTGCAAAACCCCACAATGCGTCAATTTCCACAAACTTGAGGGAAAGCAGTTACGACTTGCTGCTACGCTGCGCGCGTTGGTGGCAGCTGCAGTTGCTGGTCGAGGAAAATCTCCCGCGGCTGACAGGGAGAAGGCCGCATAAATCACTCTGGATCAAACAATCCCCACCTCCTCCTTTGCATCACGCGCATATCCAAATGGATTCCATGCTAGGGGGCGCGAGAAGTACTCGAGATGGAGTCGCGAGATCGTACGATGGGTGTCCAGCGGTTGGAGATGCCCTGCCTCTCGTCAGTTTGCTCACCCCCCCCCCCCTTTATATCCACGTGGATATCTCGTGAGGGGGCTCTGCAATTTCTTCTCCCGTTTCTGCCGTCAATCCAGATGCGGGGTGGCTTCCGTCATTCTGCAGCCACACGTGTGTTGGGAAGGCTTATCTCGAACGCTTGTTTTTTTCTTGCTATTGTTCATTCGTTGGGGGTCAACCCTGAGAGCGTGGCGAGCTCCCGCACTTTGTGTCCATGACGCTACGGGTACAGCTTCATTGTCTAGCGAGCGTGCGACCTGGTGCGAGTTAGTCGGCATCTCGGTTCATTAGACTCATTAACGGCTCAGGAGAAACGTTTACTGCAACTTTCGGCATGGCTAGTCCCTACGCAATACAGCGCCAATATCAATGTCATCTGTACGGATATTGGCAAGAGTCATGATACGGTAAACTTTGCGCGCAGGCCCTTGCATATCGAAGTCAAAGAGCTTACCTTACCGGTGCCGTTCACCCATCGGGCGTCAAACCAGTTCGTCCTATTGACCACAAACCCTGTCCACAACACAATCCTATTGATAAGCGCGCGATCCCGCTTCTCCGAAGCGAGACAACCTGCCATCGACTTGCAGATGTCAAAAAGTTCAAGTGCCCCAACTATCCCGGTCTTCGCCTCTCGGCTGAATGGCATGCACGATCGAGCGCCTCATTTCATTTTCAACTGCCACACTCTGCCTCTAGTGGCTGTTGAGACGACGCGAATGTCGACTCAGCTCGCGATGCTACTTTTTTGGTGTAGTGAGTACAGGCACGAACCGTACGATGCGTTTCTTGGCCCGCCTAGCGGTAGCAAACATCGCTCCGTATACTGTGGGAAGCTTGAAGCAAAAGGCGAAATTCAGAAACCATTGCCATATACGGGCGGGCTCGGTCTCAGAGGTGGAGATTGCCACGTGGCTAGGCAAGCCACACGGAAATTCGAACACGATGTTTCCAGGGCCCTGGTCATAAGGAGGATTTGGGGTTGGGCACACCTGGGGTTAGGCTGGTACGCTGGCACATGGTAGGCTGGGCTGGGAAAAAAGGCACAGAGCTGACGCCGCTTACTGAGACGAAGAGACGTTGACTATGAGCAAGGGGGCCCAGCAGCTGACGATTCTCAACGACCTGTCTTCCCCTAAAGTCAATCACTGTCACCGAGACCTCGTCCGGTTGGCCAATAACTATCTTGAATATCGTTCATCATGTGCGGTTATAATATCAACATGACAGGCACGGCCCCCAACGACCGAACGACCGACCGGCTGGGCCTGGAGTCACTGGATTTCACAAGATTGAAAGAGAGCGGAATTGTTCAACTTCATCGGGAGCTATCGCCAATCTCGCGCGGTCCAGTGCGGTCGGCCACCGGCTACCGGCTCGGCCGATCAAGCGTGAAACCAGGGAAGCAGCGCAGGAAGCAAGAAAGACAGGGTGCGGCAACGGCAAGTCGGAGGCGGCTTGCTTTCCTCGCACTTGATAATGCATGCCCACGGATGCTGCTAGATTGCAGCCCCGATGGGAAATCGCGGGACCAATATCTCCAATGCCACATGGCAAGGGACCGGGAGCTCCCTTGCCATCTTTGTCACGCCTGAGATCGGTAGTTCAGGCGGCGGTTTCCTTCTCCTTGGCCTTGAAGAGCGAAGCCGCACAATCTCATGTCACACAACTCCTGCGCGCGCGCACGCGTCTGTCTTCGTCTTTCCTCGGCATTGAGGAGATAATAGCGGTGTCTAGTCCGTAATCCCCCCACCCCCTCTTGTAAGCTTGGGATCGGGAAGGGGCCAAACAAGCTTGGAGGATGCAGTTTGCAATAGTGCCGCCCTCTCCGGCCCAGGCAGACTCTAAAGATGGCTAGCCTGATCCCTTGCCATACGGGATTCGGAAAACAGAGACGTCCATGAAATCTAGCGACAACGACGACGACAGACCTCAGGATTTCAAGTCGACGGCATGGTGCCCTATTGGCTGTGGTTTACGTACGCGATATACATGTGCCAGTGAGACACGCAGAAGGATGGTTTGGAAAAGCTCGAGCATTTTGCGGCTCGATAGCCAATGATGCCATCCAAACAATCGCATCGCATAACAACTCTGTCTTGGGATGCCACGAGTTACGACTTTTTTTTTTATCCCTACCCCTGCCACGTCGGGGAGACTCCCGGGCCAGCGAAAGAGAGACATGAAAAGGCAAAATAGGCTCTCCTCAGTTTTGCAGAAGGTCAAGACAATGGCTGTTGTCCTCGCTACCGCCCGATAGAGAGAATACATCGTAACCCACCTCAGGTTGCCAGGACACCGGGTCCATCGTCGCTTCTTTCCTGTGAGCAGAACCGAAATGGATACAGTCAATCATGGATCCTGAAGGTTCGAAACCTATTTCCCTTTACGACCCTGGATCAGTCAACACCGCCTTTTTCCAACCCCGTCCGTCCCCGCTCCCGGTTCGTGACAATCGGAGCCATAGGTGGTTACACACCCCCATGGCCCATGTCAATATCCATGCGTATCCCATAGGTAGCACACAGTCCCGTCTCTGGGTTGCGGTTTTGAAGTACCGAACTCACACACTCTGTCTCACCGCATCACTGCTGCCTCTGTACGGACACACCAGACGAAGGCAAGGCAAGGGAGGGTACGGATAGGGCAGCGGCTTTCTCGGCGGGCTTCTAGGCGATCGGCACCCCTCCGTCGTACGACACGACGACGGATATCTGGGCTCACCCTCTCCACTATCCACAGCCTCCCTCCGAGGCTGGACAGGCAAGGGAAGTTTGACATGCCATGGTATAATGGAACTCCTGTACACGGTACATAAGTGCCGATATATGGGCGTCGCGTCGCTAGCAGAAAGAGAGAGGCAGAGCCTGTAAGACGTGGGGTTCGTCCACCTTAAACTGCCCGACCTCATCTCCCAGGACTTGTTTGAACTTGGTTGCCGGTATCCATGTATACTACTAGGCTCTCTAGGTTCCGTTCGGGGACCAGAAGGGGACCAAAAGGGGTTTCGTTTCATTGAAGAAGCCTCACAAATTGCCAATTAGGGGTGACGGTGAAGGAAGGGGGGATTCAGAAAGGCTAGAAGGGGCTTTTCGTCGCGCGCTCATGATCTTATCCGAGAACCCGCATTTACGTGGCTCCCGAGCCCCCCCTCAGGTCCCCCCGTCAAGGACCCGTCAGGAAGGGGGAAGGCTCAAGGGAGGTTCTATCCAAGTTCTAGAATGCCATTAGAAGGTTGAGCTTAATCCCACGGCAAGTAGGGGGGGGGGGGGGGCAGAAGAAATCTCCCATTCTCCAAGGGGATTACTGCCACAGCTCAGGGTTTTGTCATTCCTTTTTGGAAATTAGAAACCCATAAGTTGCGCGCGCGCAAAGCTACCGAGCCATGGACCATGGCTAACGGCAACAGGAGCCCACTCCCCATTCCCAACTACCGGGACGGGATGCTGACTACCAATCTCTCTGGTGAGATTACAGCCTCTCATCGATGTTCGGTCTCGCGGAGCTGCTTGTTTGCTGTATTGTAACAACGGGTTATTATGCTCTCAGCCCGGCAGACATGTGAACGCCTGGCCAAGAGGTGATTTGCACACCCAAAGGCTGACGGGTTGGTCCATCGTCCCGCCTCAGATTTTCCGCCTCCCTTTTCCCCAGCCTCGTCCGGGTCAGAAAGGCGCAAGTTAGGATGAACTTCTCTTTTCAGCCTGCTCAGTGGGACTTTGTTATATTTGAACCGATTATCGGGAAACAAGAGTGTGTTGTGTGTTATGCAACGGAAGCTGACCTCCCGCAGGTAAGTGCCATGAAGCAAACGGTTTGCCGGTGGGCTGGGCTGGGGAGAAGGGAGGGAAGGGCTTCGTTTGCTTTGTTTCGATACAGAATTTCCGCCTGGCGCGCGCCCGTTCTTGTCTTACATTTCCGAACATTCTTTGATGGTATTCCATGTTGTGACGCACAATGCCGTACTATGATGTACGCTTCTACCTGCCGGTTCCGGCCAGTCTCTATTCTAGCTCTGTTCTCCTCCCTTTCTTCCTCCTCAGCGGCTTTTTGGAGTAAATGGAGACATAAGAGTTGTCGTCTTTGCTGATAATACGCAGTATCAAGCTTCTGGGCATTCCCCGGTGTCCTGGAAGGATGCAGCAACTACCCACGGGTATCAAACAGAGGAATGTTGTGGCTTTCCGTTGGGCGCCGCGTCCTGCCTGTCCTACATCTTTCACGTGGCGGGCAGACATTTCATCTTCTCTCTATCCTTCCATACCACCGTCGATGTTGTACGTGTCCAACCAATGGACGGGAAGCTTTCCATCTTTCGTTCCTCGCTTTGTCCTCGCGAGATCGCGAGAGTAACACATACATCGCACACACGCGCGCACACGCACAACGAGATTTCTCCCACGCTCGTGGCTTGAAGCCATGTGGTGCTCAAGTCTCACAATGGAATCATAAACAAAGTCTAGTCTGTGGCGAATTGCTTAGGGTAGTCCACGGCGTCGCTGCCTGACAGCTTACTGGAGGGGGGGGGGGGGTCCACGCCATTGCCATGCCTATAGACTGATTAAAGACAGGTTTCCGCTCTTCCGAGTACGATCTAAACGTGCCGTGGCATCCACGCATCTCGGGCCCCCCCTTTTTCCTTGTCTGTCTTCGAGGAGACGGCTTTTGGCGTTTAAACCAAGAGATTCACTGGGAAACCATCACAAAAACCACTTGTGCTGTCCCACCGCGCCCACCTACCTAGGTATTAGGATAAGTCCATCGGACGCGGGGCTTAGGAACCGCAGTCCCGGGTTGAATTTTGTGCCTCTGCTTCTTGACTAAAGGTAGTTGACGGCGGCGGCTATCAAAGTCTAGACCAGCGCAGCACAGATGTGTTCCTATCTTTGTTGGGTTTACACCACATTAGCCTTGGCTGCCCGCTAGAGGGGGGAGAAGAATCAAAAAAACAGCGTGCCTGGTTTTAGGCCGGCTTGCATCGTGTGCCCGTTTCTGACCTGCTGTTTTCCTTACGCTGCTTGATACACTTTACAGCCTCCATGGCCTGATTATCTGATCCCACGTAGGTACTCACAGACATAGAGTCGTTCACGTGGCTCAGTGAAAAGGGGAGAAGGCGAACTTTGTCCGGATTCCGTGTCGTGCGTGTGCGTAGCGGGCAGCGAAGTCCGCCGTCTGATCGAGATGCCGGGAATTCAGGTGGACACGTGCATGCTCT